CAGAGAGATTTCTCCGGGTGCTGGTGATGTGCCGCTGCTGTGCTAAGAAGGACCGTGTGGGGCCACAAGGACCAGCGTCTTTGCAAGCGCTGCTCCAGTGGCAGGACCACATCCCTAGTTTCTGCAATGCCGGAATCTGAGAAAAACCAAAAAAAAAAAAAAAAAAAAAAAGACTAAATATTTAGTTTACAAAGTATCTTTCACATATATAAGTCATTTAATCCTCAAAACAATCCTAGGAAGGTGAAGTTTCTTTTTTTCTATGGAAAAAAATGTGGGTCCAAGAGCTGACTTATCATGGCAATATTAGTACAAAGGCAAAAAACTCAGTTTCTCTATCTTAAGGCACTAAATCTGAAAACAGTAAAACAGTAGTTTAAAGTAACATCCTGAAATTAGGTATAATTATAATGATAGAAAAATGTTCCAAAACAAATTTTTGTGTTTGGGAGTTTTAGACACTGGCTCTGCACAGACTGATGACACAGCTAAAGCTGTGTTACTTAAAGAATGGTCCCTGATACACAACTATGATGGTTTTTGTGTGTTTTTTGTTTGTTTGTTTTTCTTCCGGTAACAGGAATTGAACTCACGACCTTGCGCTTCCCACAGGCACTGTGCCACCTGAGCTAAATCCCCAGCCCCTATTATGATAGTTTTTGACTGTGAGTTCTCTGCCTGTTCTTGTGACAAAAGGCAGTGCTCTCATTAGATAGACCTCATAACTAAAGTTTTATGGAGCTTAGCATCACTAGTAGCTAGTAAAGTACATGGGATACAGTAGATGCTTAACAAATATAGATTGAAAAAAAACCCAAATAAGTGACTTATTATTTGCCTCTGTTAGCTTCATTGATTTAAGGCATCAAGAGCTTATAGAGAAATAAAGAGAATAATATATAGTTGCTGACCTCAACTAGGACAGCCAACAAAGGGGGGCAAGTTTTGGAAACATCTCCCATAAATTTCCCTCAAGGTCCTCCTCAATTAAGCCAGATTTTACCAAATATAGGAAAAAAAGGCAAGAGCACAGACAAGAAAGGAACTAGGCAGGCATGATGCTTACTCACAGAAGGACAACTAGCCTTACATGGTGAAGTATGGCGCTCACACATGATGTGTCTAAAATTCGCAGATTGAATGATACATAATTACGTAAAATGAGCAATTATTTTCTATTCTGATTACAGTAACTTGAAACAACCTTATATATCATGAAATACTACTCTTGAAAACATCTCACTGATACTAAGGATTACAAAACAAAATACATTTCAAATTACTTCATGTTATTTCTTCCTTGGTAGGAAAGAGATCATTATGGAAGAGTAGTATCTCTGCCTAGTTTTACACTACTCATATATTCATATATTTGAGAAATCTTTCATGAGTATAAATTTTCAGTTCAAATACAGCAATTATTTATGTATGTGCTTAATGAACATCATCTAAAAGTTAATGAGTCACACCATCAATTTTGTGAATTATGACTAGCATCTAAATAAACAATATAAATGAAAATATGTGAATGGAATGCACAGTCAGCATAACTTTTATTT